CCATACAGCCACTTCGTCGCCGTAATCTCGTCCAACCTTGGGAACAATCAGTTTATTCCAGGCTTCTACGGATTTCTTGGCATTGTTTCAATTCTGGTGGACTTTATACATCAATATGTTTTGCTCTATGAACGCACATAAAAAATCGCAAGTTGTACTTTGAACGCTTTCAGAAAAAAAACCATGACAACGTCGGACCCAATGGAGCACCGAGTAGCGACGCCATTTATGCTGCTCTTATAACAGCTCGCTGTTTTGTTTACACCAATGTCTATGTTGCTAGCATGACAACCCATCAATTCAGGAAACGCGTTCAGAGGGAGAGGGTGATTGGTCTGGTATTCTGAAAGCTAGTTATCACAGCGGCTGGACGAGATTATAAAAGGAATGTATGGACGAGATTTCAGTCGCTGCAAAGCGACGCGGGTTAGCCATTAGTGCTCCATTTTGGATGTTAACGGACCCTTACATGACCTCGCGACACGCCCTTTCTTGGCAGTGCCGATGACACTGGATGTCAGTACCAGTTTTTGGCCTTTACCCCTCGTTACCTAGACCGCTTTTCAAGTCGACATTAGCCACTTGGCCTTTTAAGGGACCTAGAGTCGATTATGAATTTCTACAGTACTTCTAATAAAAATCAACAACTGACGCGTTCTTCAAAGACGCTGGTCGACGTGCAGCACTAGTTCCTGGCAATTACCTGGTTCAGACCCGAAACCCAAAGGAAAACCCAAAAAAGTTTCGATGAATGGAAACCTATTTCTGAACAATTCTAGAACGGTAGGTGGAGAAGGGTTACCGCTATTTTCCAGCACTAAGCACTAGAGCAGAGAATGTAGGATAGCTGACCGTAATTGCCCTCAGAGAAGGTTCTTAGCCAAAGGTATATAGTCTTTACCCAAGCCACAAAAGGAGAGTAGTACCGTGCTGGGTGAAATGACTTCCTCGTGTAAAAAGACGGGATCGCGTAAGAAATGGTCATACAATGACTCACCCACCCCGGTGCTCCTTCCCTCCTAAGGCTAAGTTCAAAAGTTCGAAAAAAAANAAAAAAAAAAGCATTCTGGTACCTTTCCTTCCCGAAGAGTACTGTCTCCCTCTCCCCGCCACTTCACCGTTCCCGCGGCAAATAAGGCCGTTAAAGGCAACACATGGTCTGCTATTGTAGACGGGAAGTCCATGCACTGTGTTCTATCCTAATGCTTGTACCATTGCGAAATATCTCCCCTGGACCTTTTATGCTTTTCAAGAAAACAACAACAGAACAAAACAATAAATGAATGCTCAGCCGGAAAACTGACATTTTCCGCTATTTAAACTGTAAATGGAGAAAAAGTACCCAACGGACAGCTAGAAAAGTAATTTAGGAGATGAGGAGCATTGAGAGAAAATGGGCATGCATCAAACACCACACTATTCAAACAAAAGAAATTGGGCGTTCATTGCGATATGTTCCCACTGAAAGCATCAACAACGCCATTGGAGAATAATAGCCGAGCAACGAGAACGAACGACAACTCAACAGAATATGCATGACATTCTGAATGGAGCGGAATGCAAGGGTCAAGCAGTTCCGAGTGAGCGCGATTATAAGAAATAACTTCCGACTTAAGCGTGAAATCTTGAAGAAATCACGATGACCAGCTGAAGTGGATCTGGTATACCTACCTGTCATGCTATCCTGACTATCCTAACACTCTTTTTCTTAGGAATGTTTCATTCCATTTAAACAGTATCGGTTTAAATCGGCAATCCACTTTACTGCCATAGTTCCCGATAAAAATGTACCCTGATATTACTCTCCAGTATGAGCCTGTGACCCCACGGGTAACATAACGATGTAGGGTCGAAAAACGGTCCAAATAGTGCGTAATAGGGGTTCCAGAACCAGCCTGGCCAAAGTACACACCCAAAAGTGTACGAGTTTTCGCGGCGCTGTAGAGGTTGTAGGGGTTGCACCAACCGCACCGGTACGCCCACGTTGCATGCAGACAGTTTACTGTGGCCAGATATACGCAATGGCACGCACGTTTGGACAACTCGTCCAAATACCCTTCCATGCAACTATTGTCGTCCAATTCTCGTCCAAACCCTAATTTTACCAGTTTTCTAGAGCCTTACTTTTTTCCAAATACGCCGATCTCCATGTTCTCTTCGACACTTTCACACTACTCCTCGCTTCCACTATGTTCTGACTAAACTTTCCAAAATTATTTTAAACTCTGCCTTCAGTTCTTTCGCCATTCCTGTAGACACCACGGAGCAATCGATTTGGTCTTTATTTTAGACGAATCTAATTAGCATGCTGTAGGACCTTTTTAATGGAATTAGAAACGAAGCGTCATCGTCTGCCTGCTGCTGCAGCAGCGATAGAATTGTTGGACGAAACATTTCCTGGCCAAGTTTCTGGCCTGACAACAGGTAGTCAGAACAATGGTAATACATCGGACAATCGAAAATGGTACAATCGTTGAGCTGGGAAGGGATTTTCGCAAAATTATCCCCATACTCTAGAGACACACTGCTTTCGAAAGTCAGCAGTCCAATAATGCTTGCCTTTCCCCCTTGCTGAATCAGCTTTTTTCGCTGGGCTCAATCCGAATAGCTAATTAATCACATTGAAAAATTTATGAAACAATTTTCATAGCCAGCGATCCACCAAAAAGATTTCCTATTACTGGACAAAGGAAAACGACTAGGCTTGGATTTGGCACAAGAATACAACTGGCGCTTGACAAAATTCGATTAAAATGAATGGCCTTGGTCGTTTTGCTTCAACGCAACTTTAGACAACTGGAAACATTCGTCAGAGAACATTAAAATAAAATCGCAGAACTGACGACTCAGTAGACCAAAGAGCCCCATTCTGTTTCCAGAAATACTTTCTGCGACATCTAAAAAGTCTCCATCAATTCCCATGCCGACCTGGGTAATCCCGAGGCACGGCTTGGACAATGAATCAAAACGAAAACGAAAACGAGGCCTTCCGCAGAGTGGCATCGGATTAGAATGTCAAGAAGA